GAGAAAGAAAAGTTTCTTGTTAAAACAACAGACATTGCACAATTTAGCAAATTGGTATTGTGTGATGATAACATTACTCGTCCTCTTGAGTCAGCTATCTTCCATTGTGCTGACGAATGCGCCAATATTGATCATCGATGGGCTGTTGAATCTGCTTCTGATGGAAAACCGTTTGCAATATTTATGCAAGACAAATATTCGAAATATGATACAATGGATCCCAGTGTCAGCGGACCAACACTTTTAGAGTGGTACAATATAACACTTCGGTCAGTCAGTAGCTATGCTAATGACTATGAAATTATTCTCGTTTTCTTCACTGTTCGACGTTTTACGGGAAATAATCTTCACAAGATGCCTCAGTTGCTTCTCATTGATTTAGATTGTATTAAGGACTACCTTTCACCATCATTTGCCCACCGTGGCTTAGTAATACCATAAACCAGAGAAAGTACTTTCTTATCCTATTCCGGAGGAAGACCTTGTTTATCTTATGAATACTGACATGTGAGATGTTGAAATTTATCAACTTAGAAAATTTCGAATGTACATGAGATTCTGTAATTTTCTTTTTAAATAACAAACTATTTCTGCTATAAAGTAATAAAATTTAAAAGTTTTAAAGAATTCTTTATTCTATGAATTAGTTAATATCTATTTAATTTACAGTCGCTTACACATATCACAAATACTTTATTAAAATGAATGAAATGAAATATATGGAGTAGCCGAATCTAAAGGAAGGAAGCATCTCGAGTACTAAATGAAACAATTTAACTAATTCCAATTTTATATCTACGCAAATTTTTACAATATTTAACAATAGAACTTTAAATAATATAATCATATAATAGAAACTATGTTACTTTCTACAAATTTTAAGATGACATTTTTTTTATTGTAATATTCCGGAGAATGCGCTGTTTTATAACTAAATTCTATAGTTCTTGTTTTTAACATTCCGCTCCACCTTAACTTGTGTTCAAGAAAAATTTTTGATAGAATTCGGATTAAACTTTCAGGATTCTATATCAGACTTGCGATATTCGCTGAATTTAGTATTATCTAAGAATGGTAAGATGACTTTTTACATCTATAAAGCTTATATGATTTTTACCAAAAAAAAGAAAACTAAAGTTAAAATAAATAAAAAATAATTTTTTTATAACTGGTTAGAATATATTTTTGGTACTGCTGCGGCTCATTAAGACTAGGTACGTCAAGTTAAATTTATACAATGAAAAATCAGTATATAATATGTGAATATTGTTGGTAAATGAATATTAAAATTATTTGAAAGCACAATCTGGTAATGAATAAGGCAGAATAAGAATTTTTATTATTGTTGAAGAATTTTATTATAGATTTGGAAGAACCAGAATGATAAAGAACCAGAATGATATTGTTACAATCAATATATTGGTTAGTCTTTTCCTATCTATTTTGACCAGTATGTCCTAATTATTTTTTTTTATTTTTAAAATTCGTTATATTAAATTTATAGTTAATTAATTACCATTTAGTAATTAGCATTTATTGAGTTTGAAACTGCGAAAGTTGTAGAGCGCCGATGTTGAGGAAACACTGATTAATTATTCAATATTCTTTAATTAAACCTTCTGCTTACAAATATAAATATAAACTAAAGAACTGAATACAACAATATGGTGGAGGTTACAATTTATAAATGAAACAGATTGTCTCGATAATCAAGGATTGTGTGAACTATGTAGGAGAATTTTATGAGATTGATAGCTATGTGAATCATGGAAATTCTTATTGCTGGTAAAATACCTATTTATTGAAAGACAGCAAAAAAAAAGAAGTTATTTAATTAATATGGACTATTTTAAACACACGAAAGTAACATAGCATTCCACAGGAAAAAAAATTAACTTCCATTACAAATTATGCGCTATTTTTGTCATATTAACGTTAATCAGTAAAATTATGGGTAATTATTTGTACAAACTTACACGAAAAATTTGTTATAATGATGACCAGAGTTGGCCTTTTGGACTATTGGACTATAGATTTCCAACAGCTATAAATTTATATATAATTTAGCAATATGTTCATAATTATAAATTTATATTATGTAAATGAGAATTTTTTTATTAAATTTACTAATTATTACTAGCATAAAATTTGAAAATAATTAAGTTTCCCTAATTCTCAATACAAATATCTTTTAAGTTTCATTTTAAAGTTTTGAGATGAGATAAATTTGAAATATTTGTAATATTAATTACTAGCTCTTTGTCACCTGAAAAATTTGAACGATTCCAATAGTCTATTATTGGAATTGTACCAGGTCTAAATTCCAATACTGATGATGACCTCATTTATTTTGAATTATATTTTGAACCTTTAACAATAGTGTAGATTTTGAAAGAAATGTTATATTAAATTTAATTAGACAATGAACTTAGAATTTATTTAATATTCATCAAATACTATCATGAATAAATTCTAATATTCGAAGAGAATTATAAACCTACTATTTGAGAAATGATGCAAAATAAAGAAAGTGTGCGACGAAAAAAAAAAAAAATATTTCTAGTTTAATTTTTATATTAAATTTTATCAATAAGGAGCCATCGACTCACACCCTGTCTCCTCCAAATACGTAATACATAATAAATTATCCATTTAAAATTGGGAGAACATATTTATTTAAATTTTAAATTTTTGTTAAGTAAAAATTTTTATCAATTATGAAACTTTTAAAAAAATTTTTTTTATAATACGTATGTTTAACATTTGACCTAAGGGCATAATGTGATTATTAGTGTAAGTCGATAAGTTTCACTATAAATCCTGTCTATCTATTTACAGTAGACTTTCGTTGATATAAAATAATTTTTAGACGAAAAAACCAACCGTTACAAGAGCTGCCAAATCTATTCTTTAGAATTAAGATGAACCATTTTCATATGGCAACTGAGATTAAAGTATAGAAGACAATTGTTATTAGCGCAGTAAATGGCATTAATATTTTATCATTTATTTTTGCATAAATTAATATATTAAATGAGAATTAAACCGAATTTGATTATGTCATGTTGCGCGTGCTGCATGGTAACTGAGTTAAATTTTAACCGGTTGAGGACGAAATTGATAATAGTCTATTCTAGCATCTAATTAATGTTATTTTATTTTTAAAAAAATAAAGTTATTATGAAGGAAAGTCTGACAAGTCAGTTTATATTTTAAAGAAAGTTAAAGGTTTGTCATTATATGGATTTATTTGCGCCATTAATTTTCGTTAACAATATTTTTGTGGCTTTGCATTCATAGACTAGATATTTTCTCTTAAGTTTACAATGGTTTAATTATAACTGATATATTTTGATACACTATATTAAAATATCGAGATCGTTGACTATTATAAGAAGATACAATTAATTGCAAACTTTATCAAAAAAATTTTTCGCATTCCATTGTGTGTTTTTTTTTTTGAACTACCAATATCTTAATGAATAGATAAATGAATTGATAAATTATTTGGATTATCTTACTTTTATTTCAATGTTGTCTGTAGATCGGAATCGTTAATTTTTTTACATGGGGTGATGTTAATACTGAATAAATTTAACTTTTGATTCTTATTGGAAAAAATATTACATAATTTGAAGTAGCCTTTTATGGAGTTAACTTTATAACTCGTCATGCACCATTAATTACGTAGTTGATGATTCATTTACAATTATAAATCACGTCACGATTTGATGAATTTTTTTAAAATCTCATTGCTTCATATTTGGAACTTTAAGAAGAATCATATAAAAAAAACCTTAATTTACTTGAATTTATAAATTTTTTCCAATAAAAGTGTTTTAACACTGTTGGCTTGTGAGTTATGAAAGAAATACAATACATTTTATACTTTTATTACAATCACGATGTGAAGCACGGCAAAAGGTAATAGCAAAAGAATTAACAAAATTCCTTTATTTGAACTCTTGTTTTTATCTCAAAACCCTATTCGCTAAAATATTTAGACCATGCTTAAAGAAAATGACTCTTAACCAATTTTTGCTAAACGGTTCTTAAACAAAGTTTAATACGCAGGGAAAATGGTTCAATATATTGTGATAATGATTTCTTTTGAAAAGATAAAAATTGAATTTGGTGTAGGCCAATTTAATTCCAACCAGAATTAAAAGTTAGATTTGGATGAATTTATATGGAAAGAAATGTCGTCATCTCATCATAGTATGTTTGATATGTTAGATCGCGTAGTTCATTGGTCATTCATTTGTTCTCTCAGCCACCCTTCTTGAAAAAATTATAAAAAGATCTCGAACCTTAGTTTGTCACCTATATTCCATAAATTTTTTAATTTAGTACGTATCAGTATTTTTTTTTTTTTTATAAACACTTGAAATATTTGAAAGGTAAATATTTAAAAAATGTATATTCAATCATTTTTAGGAATTTTATTATAATGTTATTTAGATCTTAACCAAACGTGTTACGTAGAGAAATGCAAAGGCGACGACTTATTTCATCACTTACCGTTAACTCCTACTTCAAACCTTGCCCCATCATCGACAGCTGTATCTTCTACTTCTATTCCCTCTTCTTCTACAGCTATCACTTATTCTTCTTCTATAGCTGTAACTTTAATTCCTCCCCTCCCACTATTTCAGTTCCTCCCCCTCTCCCTGTTACTGTCCCTCCACCTCCACTTGTAACTGTCCCTCCCACTCTCCTTGTTTCAGTTCCTCCCTCTCCACCTCCCGTTACAGCTGTAACTTCGGTACAACCTTTCCCTATTGTTCCTATCCGTCGTTTTTCTAGGTGACCGGAGCCGATGGATCTCGATCAACCAGGCATTTTTGTAGAAACCCCTTACATTTCTCCCCTAGTCGATGGCCAGAGCCAATGGATCTTGATCCTCCTGGCATTTACATTGCCATCGATTATGGTTTTTGTCTCTTTCCTCTTCGTTTTTAGCTGGCCACCTCTCCTTCTTATTCGTCTTATTCGTCGTCTTTGAAATTCTCAAAAAAAAAAAAATTAAAAAAATAAATATAAAAAAAATATAAAAAATTCAAAAAAAAAATTTCCTTCCATAAATTCACTAGGGTGTTTATCTTTTAGATAAGCATGACTACGATACCTTGATTTATTGTATCTATAATATGAAGTTGGTTGTTTTCATTGTTCCTTTTTGCATTTAAATAATCTTCCATTGGCCACTTCATCCACATTTTGTAGTTTAGAATTTTTTTTATTCATTTTTTTGTTGTTTTTTTAATACTGTTTTATGTATTTTGATGATGTCTTGAGGTGAAATCTTTTAAAACTATTTTTATGACCCTATTATATTCGTATGCACTTTCTTTTTTTTCACCTCAAATATAATTTTAACCTGAACAAAGCTTGCCACCTCTGCGCGGTGTCCAGGAGATTCATCTATATCTGGTTAAGAG